CAGAGAATATAATTGTTGAAAAAGTAAAAAAAAGAATAGTTATGGAAATCAATTTCATAATTTCCCTAAAAATATATATTACTAACTGATATATAGAAGTAAAGTTCATAATTTCCATGAAAATATATATTAAAGAAAACGCGTAAATTATACCAAACCTTTCACAGATTAAGCAACAATAACCACCTCATGATGCATTACCCCTTTTTGGGTTGGGTTCGACCCAATCCCTTGCCAACCTGTTAAAAAAAAAAAACGCGTAAATTAGGTAAAAAGTTACATCAACATTTCCATATTCAATAAAGTAGCTTTTTTCAAACTTATTCGGTTAGCTTTTCTCTAGATTGGAATTGTTTTTATTCTATAAAATGCAGTGAAGCTTTGTGAATGGAACGGTCTTTCCAACACAGAAATTTGATGGAACAACTCGATTGATACATTCGAAATTTCCTGCTTTAATCTCGTTTGGTCTTATCAAGTCGTGCCGTACCGTATCCATCGGTGCTTTGACTTCCGGTAGGTTGGTCTCACATACTTTATTTATTAGGTAGAACGGTAGACTTCCGATGACATCAACTTTTTTCTCTGAGTGCATTTTTCCTACCGTATCTAATGGTGCTTTCCTTCCAAGTTGGTCCGTTTCACATACGGTCTATGAAGCAGCAGACTCTGGTAACATCAACTTTCTCTCTCTCTCTTTTTTTTTTTTTCTTGGTAGACTGATGTTTTATTCCAGCACAGCTGTAGATATGTTAATGACTTGTCTAGATACTCAGGTGATGGTGATTATAAATAACAGGGCAAAGAGTCCTATGTTTCAAGACTTAAGAAGTTGCAACCATTAGTCAATATATCATTTTGGCCAATTTTTAAAACTCACGATCATAGTTTGTATGGTCTCTATTGACATTGTTGCAACCAATGATGCTTTCACTCTTTACTTGGCTTTTCATGTTACTTCTTGCAACAATTCTCTTTGAAATCAATGTGGTTTTAGTTTCTGGTCAGTGTCTAAGCGACCAGCAGTGGTTTTTGCTTCAATTAAAGAACAGGCTCGACTTCAATTCCTCTTCATCTCTCAAACTGGTGAAGTGGAATCAAACCACAGATTGTTGCATGTGGGAAGGTGTAACATGTGATACCGGAGGTTATGTTACGGATCTTGATTTGAGCAACAAATGGATTGTAGGAGGAATTGACAATTCAAGCAGTCTCTTCAATCTCCAGCATCTCCAGAGTCTAAATTTGGCAAACAACCACTTCAACTCTGACTTTCCTTCCAGGTTTGACAAACTTTCAAACTTGAGTCGTCTTAATCTGTCACATGCTGGCTTTATAGGACAAATTCCAGAAGTGATAACAAATCTCACACAACTTGTCTTTCTAGATTTTTCGTCCAACAATTTTTCTGGTCCAATCCCATCTTTTTCATTTGCCAAAAATCTTACCCACCTAAACCTTGCCCACAATCAGTTAAATGGTTCAATTCTCTCCACTAACTGGTCAAGTCTTTCCAAGCTTGAGCGTATTGATTTGAGAGACAATGCACTAAGTGGAACTTTTCCTACAACTTTGTTTGAGATTCCATCTTTGCAAAGTTTAGTACTCTCGAAAAATCAATTCACTGGTGAATTGCATGAAACCCCAGAATTAGCTTCCTTTACTTTGCAATCCCTTGAGTTGGATGGTAATATGTTGAATGGATCTCTCCCAGTGTTTGTATTTGGACTCCAGAGCCTCAAGGTCCTCATCCTTTCTTCCAATAATTTTAGTGGTCCATTAAATTCAAGTTTAATTTTGAACCTCACAAATCTCTCTACTCTTGATCTCTCATTCAACAGCTTGTCCATCAATGGAACCAATTATGATCCTGCTTCTTTTCCCCTGATTCAAACATTAAAATTGGCTTCTTGCAAGCTGAAAAGATTCCCAAATTTCTTGGAGAAACAATTCAATCTATCAATTTTAGATCTTTCAGCCAACCAGATTGATGGGGAAATACCCGATTGGATTTGGACTCTTCAATCTCTTAGCTACTTAAATCTTTCTTACAACTTTCTAGTGAATTTGCAAGGACCCCTACAGGTTCAACTTTCTCATTTGTCTGTCTTAGACCTTCGTAACAATAAATTGCAAGGTCAACTACCAGCGCCCTCACCACATTTAGCATATGTAGATTACTCGAGCAACAAGTTTAGCTCTATTATACAATTCTACAGTAGCTCAAGTACCTTTTCCTTCATCCTTCTTTCCAACAACAACCTTCAGGGAAGTATTCCTGAATCAATTTGCGATGCTACAAATCTTCAAGTCCTTGATATGTCGAATAATTCCCTAAATGGCACTATTCCTCAATGCTTAAATGAGATGCAGTTTCTTAAGGTGTTGGACTTGAGTAGAAATAACCTCAATGGCAACATCTCTAATAAATTTTCAAGTAACTGTTCGTTACAAACACTAAACCTCAATGGAAACCACTTAGAAGGGGAAGTTCCTAGATCTCTAGCCAACTGTACAATCTTGGAGGTCTTAGACCTTGGGAACAACCAGATTAGTGACACTTTTCCATGCCATTTGAAGAACATGTCTAGTTTGCGAGTCTTGGTATTGAGGTACAACAAATTTCATGGGCTGATTACTTGCCCAGATGACAATTCCTCTTGGCCACCACTTCAAATTGTCGATCTTGCTTCTAATCATTTCAAGGGAGAACTGCCTTATCGTTGGTTACGAACTTGGGAGGCAATGATGGTTGCTTCAGATGAGTTCAAAGTCCTTGTTTTGGAGGAAGATGTTCATTTTGAACTTGATCATAACATTCTAATCCCTGCTGCAACATGTTCATATTGCACGGATGATGGATGTGGTAGATTACCCAGGAGAATTCCTGGAGTGTGCCAGGATACTAATGCGGATCTTTTTATGTCAACAACTGTGGATATTTTCTCTCAAGGAATCTATTATCGCTTTGCAATAACGACAACCATTAAAGGTTCCGAGAGACGGTTGGTGAAAATTTTAAGTCTCTTCACCTCTATCGACTTTTCATGCAACAAGTTTGAAGGACAGATACCAAAGGTTTTGGGGGAGTTTAGGGCACTCTATGCCCTCAATTTGTCACATAACTGTTTTATAGGTCTAATTCCGTCATCTCTAGGAAACCTACAACATCTTGAATCTTTGGACCTTTCTAGTAACAACTTGAGTGGTGAAATTCCTCAACAGCTCGGAGATCTTAATTTCCTTGCAGTCCTTAACCTCTCACACAATCAACTTGAAGGAAGAATCCCGAGTGGAAGACAGCTTCAAACATTTTCAGAAGATTCCTTTAAAGATAATAAAGGATTATGTGGGATGCCCTTGAAGAAAAATTGCAGTGTGCCACCATCCAAAGATAAACATTCAGATGATGGAACCTATATTGACTGGAATTTCCTAAGCATTGAATTGGGATTTGTTTTTGGCTTAGGAATTGTTATTCTACCACTTATGTTTTGCAAGAGATGGAGGGTGTGGTATTGCAAACATATTAATGGTTTTCTTCGCCGGTTTTTCCCTTGATTGAATTAAAAAAGCAAAAATCGTGGAAGGAGATTTCCTAAGAGTACCAAAACACGGTTGAGGAACAAGCAACGGTGAGGAGAATTGCAAGCACGGTTCTTGAAACTTTAATCTGTGTTGTATGCCTACTTTTTTCAATATCAAAACTCATAAATGTTACAAAGTTATATGTGATTTATGTTTTGCTTTGTATTAATATGTTGTATTATTATGTGTGTAACCAAATATATATCTTGTTATTAAAAATTATTTTAGTATTTAGTAATTATATTATCATGCCCGCACTCTCATCACCTATCTGTAGTGTTCACGCCGCAAATCCATTCCCCAAAATGAAGATTACCCTCCCTCTGTACCTAATTTCGGTAACTTTCCTGCCTTCCTGCCGACCCCTTGTTCCAATTTCTTGAGAATCGGGAATCTTCATTGCTCCAATTGTGCGAAGCCAAAATTTTGGTGTAACCCATGGTAGTTGCGGCCAAATTGTTGGACACCGACCTAAGCTAGGAGCTGATATTAGTGGAATGGGAAATAACAACTCAAGCGATTTCTTCAAGCCTTCATCATCTTCAGAGCCTCAATTTAACGTATGTATCCTGCTACAATTTCAAGATTAAATATTTCTAGTTAGTTTAAAAAATTACATGTGTTAATTGTGCTAGCTTTTATTTTGGACAATAATTGATATATTTTTTTATTTAATATAATTTACAATATA